ATAAACCCAACTCACCAAATCACGATTTGTGAGGGGAACCAACCCCGTCGATTAGCCAGGGGGAGAGGTGATCTGTGTGGGGACGACATGGCTGGGAGTAAGTCTCTCCCTGTGGCCACCTTGCCTCCCCTTCCTATTTTAAGTTTTGACTCTGCCGGCACTCAAAGCCGTAAAAACCCCACCGTCCGATCTAGACACTTTTCGTCGATCGTTTAATCCAATTTCGAGTTAACTCCTTATTTTCCCTAGGCCTTCTTATTTTTTCATATGTCAAATTCCTCAATCCTCTACTCCAATCCGTCCAGGTTCAGAGTCGTTGCGTCATTCGCTGAATTTCATTAGCGAAAAGCTACGTAAATTCTTTTATTTTCATTACTTTAATTGCAAATGTGTGACGATGAATAACGGAGCTCAAGCATTCCCTTTTTCGCTTCAATTACTATAAACTCTAGTCTAGTATCTTTATTCCTTTTGTTTTTCCTTGGTTTCTTACTATTTCTCAGCATCCAAACAGTAAAATTTAGGAGCAGTTTGTCTTTAATTTGTTCAGTGAGGTTTATTTTCTTACTTTTACTCTTTACAGCAAAGTATGGCTCTTACTCACTTTTGATTTTTTTTTTTTTTAACGGTTTATAATTTTGAGGGATTGGAGGAGGGAGATTTTCAAGACATTAGTAAAGTTCAAAACCCCAACCAACTAATTCAAATATCTAAAGCTTTGAAGATGAACTACTTGATTGGAAGACTTACTTACCTTTGATTGATTTGGGAGGGGACATCCAAACAGAGTCACTAAATTAATGAGAAAAGGTTCAAATGAGAAAAGGTGCAAATGAGAATGTGAAATTTCTATTTTTTTTTACTTAAAAATATTAATTTTATCAATTTTTAAATAAAATATTAATTTTTTAATTTTTTTAATTTAAAAATATCAACTTTTAATCTTTTTTAAAATTAAAAATGCTACCTTTCAAATTTTTTTGTTAAGAAGTTTATTTGTGAAGTAAATATTACTGTTCAATTAATATTTAAATAAAAAATAAAAAATTAATATTTTTACAATTAAAAAAGTTAAAAGTTAAAATATTTATTTAAAAACTAACAAAATTAACAACTTTAAATAAAAAAAAATACAAAATTAATATCTTTATTTATCCTTTTTTTCCTAAATTAATTCGTTGTAAGTTTATATGTGGATTACTTATATTTCAGACGTTAATATTCTAAATTGGTATTTGTTGTTATTATATAGTTGTATCTTAATTGGCATGACTTCACTCAAACTGGAATCTAGTTATTTCATAATCTGCAGTTAGCTTTTGGACTAGAACCTTGTCTTGTGCTGTATTTTGTTTCCCGTTGTACCTTGCCATTGCTAGCATCCTATATTAAGATATGAGAGAAATCCGCATGCCCTACACAGAATAGTCACTTTGAATCTCTGTAGCTTGCTTTAATAAAATTGTTTATTTGATTGGATTATGCCTTTTTTCAGAAGGAAGTAATCAGAGGAATCCAAATTCTTTGACTTTATTATACATGAACTTTTGTGTATTGAGTTGTTTCTCTTTCGCAAGATAAAATTTATTAGCCAAATTCTTGTGTAAGCAATTGATGATGATTGTAATCAGACAGGGTAAATGGTGGCTGAGCTTCTTGGTTGGCTACAAGGAACCTTTGCTTCAAAGGTTAGTGTGGTAAAATACGCTGCCTTATTTGTATTACAAAGTGTCATGTTTGTACTATTCTCTGGAAGGTTCTGTTGAGTTAAGTTCTATATGCTAAATGTTAATTTAATTAGCAATTAAGGGATGCTAGGTAAGGTAATTTGCTAGGAAGCAGAAAAGGACGTATAAAGCCAGCAGTTGTGGTTATGGGTACCTGTGGTTGAAGCTCAATGCAGGGGTCGGTTCTCTTCACCCCTTTTCTTATTCTTCATCGTTAGCTTGTAGGCTTTTATATATTTGGGACTTTACAATTATAAGTCCATACATTCCATTTAGGTTTATTTCTTTTTTATCTCCAACTTGTTGGTATTTTCTGCATTATACTTCAAGAAGTGTCATTCCTGAGAAAGGTACTACGTTTAGACAATCGTATGCTTTCATATCCCTTCCCATATTTTTGTCTACTAAAACATTTCTCATGATTTTGTTTTGAATTAGAAAAGGATGGAGACGAGTCACTGATGACGTGGAACCGGAAATAAAGTACTGTGAGGGGAAAGTTCCTTATTATGTAATATAGCTCTGTTTGTATGCAATACATTTAGTTATGATACGTTCTGCCATTAAACTAGGGAGTAATAAACATTTTAAGTTCTGCTCTTGTCTTATTAATAAAAATTCTGAGTTTTACGGTCTTGTCTAGTGAAATCTTTACAGTTTGTTGGTTTTAAGGGAAATGCATATTTAACTATCTTCTCTAATTCTTATTTTTCTGTTGTGCCAAACTAATATTACTATATTAGCTCCATTGTTCAAATCTAGGATGATAAAAATTATCAAGTTGATGATTGGCTTGGTGTTGCAAGGTGGCTTCTTCCATATATAGTAGGGCTAATTTCAATTCAAAATGATAGATAGCATTACATCATTGAATTGTCTGTCTTGATTAACATGCTCTTAAATAATTCTTGGATGCCTTTGAATTGGGATGCATTAATTGAATTTTTTTTTTACTCAATTTTTTTGTAAGCTGTTTTTTTTTTTTTTACCACTTGATTACGTTTCCATTTAACACACTGAAAAAAAGGAGTCATACTAATTTGAGTTTTTAAATTTTTTGTTGTATGTTTTTATCAGTTGGGCTAGTGATGCTCTTGATCCTAGAAGTGATGAATTTGGAGATCATGTTACATATGTAGAAGGAGACAATAATTGCAATTAGATTAGAGGAAGTTGTAGCGGTGGTGAAGAATGATCTCGAGGTTTGTACGTGAAGAATAAGTTGAAAGCATATGAAGAACAGTTGAGAGGTTATGAAGAAGAAAGGGAGAAGAAAAGGCAATGCAATGAAAGAATTCAAAGAATGACTGGAAAATTTGAAATAAATGTAACGTACACGAGCGGTGATACGTTCAGATGAAGAATGGCAGCTGCAAAACATTTAGATACAGACACTATCTCTTAATTGGTTATTTCTTGGTAATTTTTAGATTATTTAGTTGTTGATGCACTTCTTTGTTATGTTTAAAGTACATTTATATGACTTTTGTTCTATTTTAATTAAATACATAAATTAAGCTCACAATTTTTATTAAATTTTATTTTTGATTACATTCTCTTTGCTGTCATTAAATTAGAAATTATTGAAACAATTAAATGAAAAATTGAATTGATGAACAAATGAAAGTAAGCTTTTGAGGACGTCCACATCACTAAAGCAAAGAAATTGGGGATGATAATTTACCTTTCTTGCATTCTTTGGGGACACAATTGTCTCCAAAACTATGCTCTTATGGGACATGTCCATGCTAAAGGTTTTAGGGATATTGTGTCCCCAAAGGCTTCAAAGGTTTTTGTGATGTATCGTCTCCAGAGGTTTCAATAACGTGTTATACACTTATACTAAAAGGTTTTGAGGATGTATCGTCCCAAATGGTTTTGGGAATGCCCTTCTTAGGGCACATTACGTCTCTTAAAGTATTAGGCACGAATCGTTCTAAAAATACAATAATGCAGTGTCCCAAGGGGGGTTTTTGGAACGAAAATCACATCTCCAAAACCTTTGGGGAGGCCACCGTAGGGAACGACCATGGGGTTGCAAAAATTCGTCCCCAATACCTTTGAGGTCAAATTTTAATGCCTAGCTATGGGTACAATTCCCGTCACCGCTAAACATCACTTTTTTTGTACACCTCTCTTTCCTTCTATGTATCATCCTTCCGGGCTTCAGGCTTGCCCTTCGCCATTTATTTAAACGCCATCTCCACCGCGAGTACAGCTCCTGCCCACCTCCGATGTTGCCCAATGCTTGGTCCAATGAGTTTGCCTTTGCTTGTGGGAGAGTCTATAGTAATTTGGCTTTGTGGGTATTTTAAGCAATTGAGGCGTCGACAATAGAATAACTACTAAAGCTGCGAGTTTTCTCACAATCTCTTCGAAATGGGGCCGTAGGTGTATTCCTGCGAGCGCCACGGCATTCTGCGCGCCCTCCAGCATGACCGTGAGAAGGTCGTCACTGCATCGTTGTGGTCTCACAAGGTACCCACGGGTCAGGGCCAAGTTCTCTTAAATCCAGACAAGGTTCGCATTTTCTGGACAAGAATTCTCGGCTTTCTAGGCCCAATAATCTAGCCCTGATAAATAAACAACGCAACAGGGCCTTTAAAGAAAGCCCACAAACATTTTCCACCCCAATTTTTTAACAAAATCAAAAGATATTAGTATGTATCTGTTGAATTTGTAAAAAATTAAATAAAAAATTTATAAAATTATATTATTTTAATAAGACACTAAAAAAAACCCAAAACAGTACCATTCTTGCCTTGAAAAATAAGTTATTAGTATTTTTTAATAAAAATTTATTAAAATGACATAATTTTAAAAATATTTTTACTTAGTTTTTTATAATCCGATTAATAAACTTTTTTTTATTTTTTTGAAATAAAGAAAATTAAGAAGTCCAAGAGACAGTTTAATGGCTAAGAGCACGGACTTACGCCTTTGGTAATTTGTGATGAAGGGATAAGAAAGAGTCAGTTAAAGTATTTCCACCCATGGAGATAGTGGCAGAGATAATATATCGCTTATCTTACAGGAAGGCAGTACCCTTTAATGTTTGTTTTCTTTTTCACTTAAAAAATTTAAATTCAGAAAATATAAGTTAAATAATGCAATGTTAGTGCATCTTTTGATGAGTCTCATTTAAATCTCCTTAAAAATTTTTAAATGCAAATAAAATAAAATAAATAGTATTAATTATAATAATGCAACATTTGAGGAGAGGACACAGCCTCAAATGTTACATTTCTTGTATTAACTTTTATTGTATCTATAAAAGAACTTTACATTTCATTAATAATAAACTCTACCATCAAATTCCTACAACACCCCATCAATGTAGAACACAGCCTGGACATGAGACAAAACTCAATTTCATCCAAAGCTCCATCTCCATTCAAGTCACCTTCCCTCAACATGCAAACCACTTCCTCATTGCTCATATCTTGCAACACAGAGTTCCTCTTCAAGCTCTCAAAAGTAATCACTCCCTTCTCTCCATCCATACATCATTCTGTTTCATTCCTAAATCAATTTGCATTAACTGCTAAGCCAGAGATCCCGACAATTAGCCAAACCAGAATTGGTAGGTACTCTGGATGGAGACGGGGGAGACCCTTAGCCAAGAGGAAAACTATAATGAAAATCCATAAATACAGTTCAGATGCATCCACATAATTCATCTTATTTTTGGATAGCAGATACGATCTCAATAGTATACATTATCTACCCTCAAAAGTGATGGTTAGTTCGTTGTTAGAGTGAGTTCCTTGATTGCTGGAAGAAGCAAGGCTCTTGGAGAACCCTTTAATGAAAAAAAGTGGTTGTTTAGGATTGGAAACAGCAACGGTTTCACTAGAAAGCATGGACACTACCTCAGTCATAGTTGGTCGATCAGCTGCATCATCTTGTACACATAACAGTGCAATCTGGATGCACTTCAGAGCCTGTCCTTCATTATAGTCTTCACGCAAAGATGGATCCATCAGATCCAATCCTGTGTCTTCATACCAAAGTTTCCAAGCCTGGTTGGAAATTTGCAGCAATGCTTTAGCCTTAGGAATAAGGAATAAAGAAAATAAAGGTACAAAAAATTGAATATTTTAGCACTTACATATCCTAGAAGGGTTACGGCTTGTTCATTGTGATAGAATAATGCATTTCTTTTCCCAGATATGATCTCAAGAACAACAACCCCAAAGCTGAAGACATCAGATCTTATTGAGAAAAGTCCATGTATTGCATATTCTGGGGACATATAGCCACTGCATTTCAATGTTATATTAAAAGGGGATTGGAAATTAGTAAAGAAAAGTGAGACACAAATTAGGTTGTACAACTTACTATGTGCCCACAACTCGGGTTGTATTTGCTTCAACTTGTTTTCCTCCAAATATTCGTGCCATTCCAAAGTCAGAAATTTTAGGATTCATTTCCTCATCTAGTAGAATGTTGCTGGTCTTCAAATCTCTATGAATAATCCTCAACCTAGAATCTTGATGAAGATACAAAAGTCCTCTAGCAACTCCAAGTATAATGTTGTGCCGCATTTCCCAGTTTAACAATTGACACTTCTCTGGATCTAAAAAGTTCCGAATATTAGATTTGTTGGAATTGTTGTTAGAAATGTGGCATTCAAATCTGCAAAAATGATGAAATGAAACTGCCATGAAATGGCAGCAATGAGGCTGAAAATTGACAGCAAATATGGCAGCAATTTAAGCCGCAAATCTGATGAAAATGAAGTTGTCAAATGACAGCAAAAATGTGCAGCAAGCTAAGCTGCAAATGTTGATGAAATGAAGTTACAATGAACAGCAAATGAAATGGAAATGCAAATGCATCTGAATGAAAGGCTACAGAGCTGCCAAAGGACGCAACATGCAGCAAAAGTGGCTGTTACTTATTTCAAATTTCAAATGTGCTTTTATTTTTTTTATGTAGAATAGTTGTTTAGAGAAAATACAAAATTTTTTGAATTTTAAAGTTTGTATTCCCCTATAGATATGAGAGTTTGTTAATGAGAAAATTTGAGTTGAAGTATTAAACTTCTCTCCATTTTAGTTGGGTTCTACCCTTCATCTTCCTCCTGATTTTCTCTCCATTTCGTTGAAAAAAATTCAACAAGACTCTACAATCCAAAATAAGAAACACAGAAACATTTTTTTTAAGAGTTAGATAGGTATGTCTGGTCTTACTCTTACCAAAGACAATGGCGTCCAAGCTTTTATTGGGCATGTACTCATAAATCAGCATCTTTTCATCTCCTTTCATACAATAACCAAGAAGTCGTACTAGATTCCTATGTTGGAGTTTGGCAATCAATACGACTTCATTCTTGAATTCCTCCAGGCCTTGTCCAGAACTCCTTGAGAGCCTCTTCACTGCTATTTCCTTTCCCCCAGGGAACTTGCCCTGCCAATTTGATCAGTAAAAATTGCTACACACGGGATAAAATTAGTTCATCAAAAGGAGTTTTGGAAAAGAATCTTACCTTGTATACTGGCCCAAATCCACCTTGTCCAAGCTTATTAGAAACAGAGAAATCATCTGTAGCAGCTACAATCATTTCAAAACTGAAAAATGGAACATCTATGCTCTTTGTCTTGTCTTCTGGGAACCCATCAAATCCAAGTAATTCTTTCACACCATGATCACTTTCTTGGTTCTGAAATGTTGAATACCTTTGACCTAATTTTGTGACATCCTGTTAGAGTTCTCAATACAGATAACACGGAAAGTTCAACACAATGAAAGTTTCATTGTTCAGAGGAAGGACTAAAGCCCTGCTTACCTTTGCTTATAGCCATTCTTCTCCAGAAACAACAAATTCCAACAACAACAAAAGCTGTGAGAACCATTCCAGCTATGGTACTTAAAAGAATTATGAACAACAATGGCATGCCATGTTGTGAGGAAACATCAGTATCTGTATTATCAATTATAAAACAAAAACAATGTGAGAACTAGGGGTTCTCCACAAATCGCAATACATTTACTAAAATGGTTAGTCATTCTATACATAATGACAGAATTCAGAATCACCAGGAACACAAGCTTTGGAATCCCAATGGAAGCTTGTAATGCAAACGCAACTCCCCCCTCCATTCCCTCCCGCATTAAGCTGGCAGGTCGAATTGGGCCATTGCTTGCAATCTTCCAGTAAATTGCAGGTGTGCTCTGGTTGTGTGCATGATGTATTTTGTGTGTCGCATTTCCCTAATTGAAACCAAAACAAAGACTTCTTACCAACAAGCTGAGTTTCACAAGTAGCCCCAAGAACAACTATACAGATTAAACTATTGAGTGATGTTGAAAGGCATACCTGAAGCAGCAGTATTATTCTCTACACGAACCCATAAATTTCCTCCTACTTCAGTATTACTGATCTTGAGATCCTTCAGAGCTATATCCCTGCTCCATGTCCAGCAGGTAGATGACTCTGCCAATCGACCTTGGATAGGTTGAAACAAGTAAGCATTGCAGCATTTCCTTTGGCACCCTTCCTGGCATTCTTCCTTACTATTGGCCGGAAAAGGATCATCTGGATACCAAACTTTGGCCAAGCTTATGTTCACAAAGTAGTCACTCTTACTGCAGCCTTCAGGTGCTTTCCTCCTGCACCCACCAGAGAAGTTTCCGGATTGCCACTGTTCCTTCAAGTTTGGCACAAACCCTTCTAAGCATTTGCATTTCAGCTCATTTGGAACACTGTTACAAACACCATAGTCCCCACAGACTTGATACACACTGCATTCATCTTCTGGTCCTTTCCAAATTGAGTACCAACCCAAAATATTTTCCCATTTCTGGAACACTATTTGGCCTGATGAATTCATCACCAGTCTGGAAGTATTTAGAGTTAAACTTCGTACTTTGAACATGATGCTGAGCAAATAATTAGGCATCTCGTTGAAATTCATTGAATTCTGTGACCAACCGCTCTCCCAGTAGAGATCTGAAAAACCCTTATGTATCGTAAACTGGTTCCATCCTTTATTTACCCCAAAAGTGAAATTTCCAGGGGCTGGATCACTGTCGCTCTTCCAAGCTCTGAGAAATTTATTTTCCATAGTCATTCCCAGAAGAAATGTATTACTTTCTTCCAAGAAACTTTCCCATAGGATATCCTTACCTCGTTGCAGAACTAAGTTCCCGTTATCCATGAGTGTAGCATTAGCTGGTAAAACCCTTGATGATTCTGCAGTTGAATTTGAAGACCAATGAATTTTTCCTTTCCCATCCATAACTTGGAGCTCTCCATTATTTCTCATAACAAAAACTCCCTGATCATCCAGAACTGGTTTGTCTCTGTTGGCAACCCAAACAACCGTCTGTGGCTGAATTCCATAGAACCATATGCCTAAGTAACGCTTTTTTGGAGACCATTCATCAGGACTGAAGAATCCCAACTCAAAGGTTTTTTGACCAGAAACAAGGGTTTCTCCATCAGTAACACTCTGGTTTGGAGTAATTGTGTCTATTGCAGTGCTGAAAGGGAAGAAGAGCAAACAGAATATAAAGAACAGAGCATACTTCAGGGCACAGAAACAGCAAAAGTTATTCCTGCCTATCGCTCTTCCTCCCATTATTGGGTTAAATGATATGGTAGAAAATGTATTGAGCATATTTGTTGCTCCCATTATGCCCAGTAAGACAGTATATTTCAATATTTCATCAAAGCCCTTCCATGCACTATGGTAATTAATGAGTGGGGTCTAGACTCTAGGCTGTAAAACGAAGGTCAAGAGCTAAAAGCTAAACCCTTCAATATTTTTAATAACAAATTTATCACTCATTACAAATTCACAACCATTTCCCTTGTATTTAATTCTAATAAGCAGGGCAACACACCCACTACTTTATTATATCTTTAATCTTGAATTGATCAACATTCTATATAACAACCATTTTTAATTGTTAAACAGGCAACACAAAAGGAAAATTTAAGTAAATTTTTGCAGAATCATTTTTCCAGTCCATACTTCATTTCAACATGAAAGGAGGCTATCAAGATTCAAGGGTGGAAATGGAATTATCAATCATGGAGGCATGGAATTCCAAAATGCGAAAAAACGCGCATAGACTTCACCTCAAGCCAACAACTAGTATTCCAAAACAATACTAGTTGTTACGTTGTTCTAAACTTTCACACATTACAGTGTCAATCACCATCATCCTTGATAATTTTACTACTGCTTCAACCACTACCACAGACCCTTTGAATGCATACAGAACTGTACCATTCGAAGTTAGCAGACCATGAGGGATTAACCTTCTAGAATATTACTTTCTCCCTTCCGCTTTAGTGCTTTTAATTTGATTTTTTTGACTTTTTTGGACATGAATTATAAATAAAAATTTAACAAGTTATGGAAACAAAAATTGAAATTTCTTTTAGAGTTGTTACTTTTTTGGCTAAAGTGGAGTATTTTTATTTAGAGAAAAGGAAAATCAAGATATCTTAATATTAAAAATGTTATGACGTTTAATTATAATTCTTAAATATATAGGATATAATATAGACTTTAACTATATTAAATTTATTTGTGTGATTATTATTAAATATTTAGGACATCTTAATTTTTTTTTCCTTTTATTTAATATAAAAATTATTTTTAATTATTATTCTTATATAATAGGTTAAAGTCATCCACAAAAAGTCAAAAACTATCTACCACCTCATTTGCACCGGACTTTAGGCTAAATGGTTTGACCCAATTCTTAAGTACTTAGATGAAATAGTCAGAGTTTCAAACTCCACCACTGTCGTAAATTTCACAAAAATTTCACAAAAAAATGACATGATAAACACGCGGCTCATTTAGAAGGTGAAATATTTCACCTGAGAACTAGTTACTAACAAGTAACTCTTACTAACTTTTTAACTATTACCTTTATAAAAAAAAAAAAAAACTACCACCCCATTTTATTTCATTTATTTAGCTTAAAAAATATATTTCCCCACTTATAGTTGAATTGTGTTAAATCGTAAAATTAATATTTTTAAACAAAAGAAACAGACCAATATAAGGAAACTTTTCCAACCTTGTTTTACAATCAGTGTAAATTACAAAATTATTTTTTTTTAAAAAAAATCTATCTCACCTCTCCTTTTCTGTGTCGTCGTTCTTGCAGCTTGCCCACCGCCATCGACCTCAACTCCATCTCCACCGCGAGTACCGCTCCCTACCCACCTCCGAGATTGCGCATTTCTTGATCCAGTGATTTTACTTTTGCAAGTGGGAGAGTCTTTAGTAATTTGGCTTTGTGGGTATTTAAGCAATTGAGGGTTTTGGCGTCGACAATAGAATAGCTACTAAAGCTGAGATTTTTCGCACAATCTCTTAGAAATGCCGCCGTCGGTGTATCCGCCGGGCTCCACGGCATTTTGCTCGCTCTCCGGCGTGGCCGAAAGGAGGAATTCTCTGCATCTTAGCCTCTCACGGTCCAGGATTTCTTAAAATCTATACGGGGTTTGCATTTTCCTCGACCTGAATTATTATTATTCCAGGCCCAATCATCTGGCCCAGATAAATGGGCAACACAGCAGGGCCTTTTGTAGAGAGCCTACACATTTTTTATTTTCGGCCCCCCCACCCCCCAATTTTTTCCTCCTCTTTCATTTTTTTTAAATAAAAATAAAAACTAAAACACATTTAGAGATCTGTTAAGGGCTTGATTCAGGTCGCACTAAGTTCATACACCGATTGTTAAATGTATTTAATATTTTAATAATGACTAAAATTTAAATTATGATAGTGTCATATCATACTTTATTTCTCTATATCAAATTGCACTTATTAAAAAAATAAAAAACTCGGGTCAGGTTTTCATAGTCATTGTGATGAACATAATATATTTAGGACTGAGGAGTTGTCTTTATTCTTAACCTTAATTATTAATTAATTATTAATTATGTGATTTGATTATAAAGTTATTTATATTATTAGTTATAGTCTAAAATTAAATTTTTAATATCTATATATAAAAAAATTAAAAAGTTATTTTTATTGTATGGCTTAAGCTTACTATTAGATTTAAGTATCTAAGTTCATAGAGATTAAAAAAAAAAAAAAGGAGGAAAAAAGAAAAAAAATATAGATGATAATAGTGAAAGAAAATATTGAAGAGCGAATATAACATAAGGCCAGCGGAAATGGTCTACAAATTAACAATAGCTTCAACCAACAAATTTTTAGAATCCATCATCAAGGCAGGACTAAGCCTAAACATGAGAGTACAAAACTCCATCTCATTCAAAGCACCATCCCCATCCAAATCACCTTCTCTCAACATGCACACCACCTCCTCATCGCTCATGTCCTGCAACCCTAGCAGTGCCGAGTTCTTCTTCAAGCTCTCAAATGTGATCACACCTCTTTCTCCATCCATCAACAACCGAAACCCGTTACACAGCTCCTTCATGAACCCTTCTGTGCCCAATTTCTCCACCATGGCTGGGAAAAAATCCTCGAACACAACCCCAATTTGCGATGAAGACATTTTTGCACAAGAAAAGATTATACCATGTAGATTTTGAAATGGAATTTTTGGTTTGGTACGTTGAAATTTGAGTGGGATGGTGGGGGTATTTATATGAAATCTGAAAGACGGTAAAGGTTGAAAGGGAGAAAAGGGAACGAAATGTTCGAGGAAAGTGTTAATGGGAACAAATTAAGAGATAGAGATAGAAGATTGAGACGCCTTTTTTTATATAGTTGGCAGGGGTCAAATTCCTGGCCTTTTGTCTAATGAATTGTTCAGCTTCCACGAAGTTACATGGGAAGCTACCAAAAGCTGGTCGTCATGGGTAGAAGCTTTCTAGTGAGCTTTGGTTTGTCTGACACTCCCAAACCTCATGTTAGGAAAGAGTTGTAACTGTCTGTGATAATGACGTACCATAATTTATTACTAAAAATTTAAATTTAAGTTTTTACAGTAACCTTGACCAATTATTTAATTTAAAATTGAGATTTTTTTTTTTAAATTCGTTCAAGAAGGTTCTTTACTGCTGTCTTGTTGGTTTTTTTTTTTTTTTTGGAGGCCAACAAACGTTCATATGGTCAAAATACAAAAACAACTCAAAATGGACTATGGAATCTATCCTTGTTCATATTATCAACAATAAAAATTACTATTGATTAAAATTACTATTGATCAACATTTACAATATATTTGAGTTAAGGAGAATAGAGATAAAGAAAAAGAAAAGAAAGGGAATGGAGGAGACTGAAAGAATATAATTTCCCTTCCCTCCTCTCCCTTGTCTTATCCTCATTTGAATAAATGAATAAATTAAAAGAATAAATAAAGTAAAAAAAAAATTCTTTCATTTGAATAAATGAATAAATTAAAAGAATAAATAAAGTAACAAAAAAAATTTCTTTCCCTTTTTCTCCAATTCTTTTAATAACTAAATAAAGAAATTTTTTTCTCTTTTTTTCGTTCTTCTCAATCCAAATATATTTTTAATTTTTTATAAAAAAAAAGTACTAATTCAGTCTTCACATATAATTGTATGTTTTTAATAAGTTCAAGAGATGAATTTAGTTTAGTTTGTAGAAGTTGACATAAACCTTGGAAAAATTTAATGTCAATGTCGCAAGCAATAGATTAGGGGGTTAATTAATGGTTATACTAGCGGCCAAACAATGACATTTCCGGTTAAATCAGTTGTTTGGCTTTGACTAGAGAAACTTGGGCCAGATGCCTTTTTCCTAGTTACTTCATGGGATAAACCTTCACCCAATAATCCTTGTCTTGATTTCCACAACTCAACTTCATCCTTTTCATATCCGCTCCTAAAATTGATTGCTTAGGCGTTTCTCTACAGGGTCATGTCCTGAACTCGAATCCAAGGATATCTAGGACACATTTGGCCTTCTTGGAGGTTTCATGAAATTTAACACTTATGTGTTAGTCTTGACTCATACAAATAAAATGACATGAAGTACAATTTGATTGGGCAGCCATTTAAAGTATAATTGGTAAGAGTTCATATTTTACAATGTGAACTATAAAATATAAATGATTGGAGAGAAATAAAAGAGTCCTTAATATTAAAAAGTCCACCTATCGTTCAATTTTTTATAACACCAAATTACA